CTGGAGTTGCTCAGACTGTTCTGTGCCTGGGAGGGCTCTCTGTCCCCAGCCTTGGTGTGGTGCTAGGGTTTAACAGTGACCTGAGAGGACTTAGAGCTTGGCCAGAGGTCACCTGGAATATCCTGAGCACCACGTAAGTACTGGGAAAGAGAAACAGTTCCTAAGCCATAAAATGTGTGATAGTGTTGGTAATTCAGTTTAACAGGGGAAACCTCACCCCAACAAAACAAAATCTAACCTAGCAGAAAAAGCCAAGCCTCTTAAGGTCCATGGTCTGTAAAGGGTACAGGTTCCTTTTGGGGATTTGAGAGGCAAGGAAATGGCTCATCCCGACTCCAGCAGTTAGAGTGTAAATGAAAACAACCCTTGGCAGGCAGGTTTGTAAGCAGTGCTGGGTGTGTGAATGTGGGGCAGCAGGAGGGGCTGTGGCTGAGCAGGGTTCTCAGCCCCCCTGGGCTGGCACTGCAGCACCCACATGGCCTTTGGGTTGTGCTGGGGCAGCATTGCCCTGAGTTTCCTGTCCCAGGCTGCCTGGAGAAGCTCCCTGCTGTACCTGGAGCCCGGCCTGGCTCGGGAGAGCTCAGAGCAGCTTTCCTGTGGGTGCTCACAGATCTGCCAGTGCAGGCACGGCTTGTCCTGCTGCGAGAGGATTTGAAGAAATCGCTGTGTAGAGATCAGCAATGCCTTGTCAAGAGCTGGGTATCGGTTCCTCTCGCTGTGTTTGTGCCAAGAAAAGAGCATTATTTACACAGGAACAGAGCCTCACCTCTCACCTGACCAAAGGTTTTGTGTTTAGATAGAGCCAGGGTGCTTTGATGTCCAAGTGCAAACAATCAGAAATGGGTTAGAGACACTCAGTGCTGCTGCTGAGGGAGGTGACCTTTCCTGCTGGCAGCCCAGGCAGCCATCCCTGTCCTCTGCTGAGAGATCTCCAGGTGGCCCCTGGAATTCTCCAGCTCACTTTCAGCTTAAGCTGCCTCTGTGTCAGGTTTTTGTTTTACTGGAGGTACCGTGGGGGTTTTGGCTGGGGTTACACCACTGACAGAGACTGGGAAACTTGTGATGAGCTCTGCAGCTGATGACACACAAGGAAAACACTGCTGGGACAACATGAAGCTGTTCGTTTGTTCTCCATGAACCTGCTCCCCTGCCCAAGGCCAGATCCGAGGGGAGAGCTTCATTTACGTGGAGCTCTAAAGACAGTGTTAAGCCCCCTTTTAAAAATAGGTCCAGCTTAGCAGGGGGTTAGTGTTAGACTCCCTGCTTGCCTAAGCTGGGAAGTTGTGTTGGATTGGCTTTTAGGAAACACTTGTCAGGTTCACATCTCCACGTGTTGTTAAAAGGAGTTTTTAAGGCTTTGTGCTCAGTCCGTGCGAGCCACCAGCAGTGTTCTCCAACCTGCTTTAAAAACTGCACGGGCGAGCTCGGAGTCCGAGGGAGCTGCTTCCAAGTGACACCTCTTTGTTGTGAGCATCTCTTAAAAAAAACCCCAACAACTTAATGTACCCATTTAATCTGTATAATCTCATTACGGCTGTTTACGGTTAGTTTGTGTTCCAAGTGTTTGGTACCTGGGAGAGCCGGAATTGCTCCTTTGGAGCAGTTTTTCCAGCGGGTGCAATGTTTATGTGTGCTCCACGGCTCGTTCTGTCACAAGTGGGGAGTGCTGCTGATTGATAGGTCTTGTGTCTTGGAGGGATTACATCTTTATTTAATATTCCTCCAATTTGTGTGTCTGTGTTTAATATTCTTCCAATAGGGTCGGGCTCGTGCGAAGTTATGAATTATTCGCGTTTGTTATGAGGCGTGTGTCTGGAAAGCAGCACATTTTCCAGCCCTTTGAAGATACACTGTCTGTCACTTCTCAGTGCTCAATCTTTCATGAGCTGAAGTGCGTAGGTACAGGATACAAAGTGTTACAGGATTCGGGGGAAGCGCTGAAAGCCCAAAGCTGGGAGTTAACAGGTGCTTCCCAGATTTGAGCTGCGAGAAGGGAAGGTGTGCAGGGCTGGATGTGCAGCGTCAGGAATTACTGACAGCAAGTCACAAGCCTTATTTCTTCAGATTTCCAGCTTCTGTTGTTGTTTATTGCCACGACCTCAGTGTTTCTTCAGCTAGGTGTTCTATTTAATTATGATGTTTATAGTAAATATCAGCTCCCTTGGCTGTGTGCTCAGGCCTGTAGCATGCCGAGTGCTTTGCTTGTAACTGCATCCCTTGTCTCAGTTCATTATCTGTTAATGGTACTCGACATGACAGGCTTGTTTTGATAAATGGAGCCTGCCAAGAAAGCTGGGATGGATTTTGCAGGCGGTGGAGCCGAGCTTTGTTTCATTGTGCAACACCAGAGGGCTGATGCACCCTGGACCAAACACAGAGAGGTCTCTGGGCAGTGCTTCCAAGCCTGGCCATTCAGGGAACCTCCACTCAAGGTCTCCTCTTTCCAGGGTATTTTCCTGACCCATGTGGAAGTAGATTTTGCCTCGTCTAGATGGGCTTTGTGAATGTGTAACTCCCATTTCCCCCCCTTTTTCAGATACCCAGCTGTCAGAAGGGACACAAAAAGAAATGCTGTTGTAAGTTTATAATGCTGTGGTTAGCAAAGGTGTCTTTCATGACCGAGAAAAGATCTTTTCTAGTCCATTTTCAAAAGACAAGATAAAAAGTCTCCATTGCAAAATGGAGCTTGAGGCTGTACCCTGTGCATGTTTTTTATTTTAGTCTCTGAAATGGGGGCAGATCTCCATATCTCTGAGGAAAGCCAATTAGTGAAAGTTGAGTTGTCTCTGATGTCGGTGATTGAGTGCTGTGGCTGTTCTGCTCATTCAAGGATCTCCAGAATGCTGTATACAAACAGATGGGACTTGAGATGATTTCTCTGCCATCTCCCACACTGCTGAATTCGGAAGTTGGTTTGTGTTGGATTTGCAAGACAGTGTCTGAGATTCAGGAATAGTCTCCAGTTCTGTTGCTGTGCTCAGACTGCCAGATGCTGTGCTCTGCACTGTTTGAACAACTTCCATCCTAATGGGATACAAAGATACATTTTTAAATGATTGTTGTTATCTGAGTGCATTTTTCCGGTGTATACTGACTTTAGGGATTCAGATCCAAGCTGGCTGGGTCACCTGCCCTAGAGGGATAAGGTGTTTTTAGACAAGAACATACCCATCAAACCCATCAAACCCATCAAACAGGGTATTTTTCAAATGATGAAACCTGGCCTGAATTAACTTCCTGCTGGAAAGCTCTTTTGGAAGTCATTAGGAGTAAATGCTGATTTAAATACACTCTGGAGCAGTCAGTTCCCTGCTCCAATCTGCCAGGTGTTTGATTGGGAAATGGAGGGGGATAAAGGCAGCGTGGTGGCTTTGTGCTGACTCGAGGGTTGGATTTCAGCTCTGCATCTCTCACACGGCCACTCGGTCACATACAGAGCTGCCCTGGCCAAGGCAGCCTGGGCTTCTGGAGCTGTCGGACCATGAATATTGCAGGAGTGCAGCTCGTGCCTGCAGCACCCTGGATTTGTATTGATCACAGCAGCCCTGCGACACAGCCAGGGCGCCTCGGAATTAATCAGCTGCTCCGGCTGGCTGCGTGGTTTTAGGGAGCTATTTCTAGAAAGTGCAGAATACATTTCAAACTTAGATCCTTGTCTGCTGAAGGACTCCTGGGCTCTAGTATGAAAATGGTAGAAATGGGCATGGATAAACAGTGGGAAGATACACAACTACAAATAATTAGCAGCCTCTGGAAAGATGAAGTTGGCAGGCAGTACTTGAGGGTGTTGCTCTAATTAACCGGGTCTGTGAACCTTAGTGATTATCATTTTTTCCTCTTTTTTTTTTTTTTTTTTTAACATGGCTTTGTAAAACTAGCTCGGAGGTGGTGTACTCCCATATTTGTTTTATAGGTAAAATATTACTGTACAGCTAGGAAATGGATTTGCTCGGCAGGGATAAAGTGTACATTGCCCCAAGGTAATGGATTACATAGATGACTTGTTTTGCATGTAATTCTGCAAGGGAAATAGCAGAGCTTTGCTCTGAAATTAACTCGGAACTAACAACAGAAAGGTCATGGTTGTGGTGTTGAGGAACAAGACAAGCAGACACTGGGAGATGAGTTACACGTTTGCGTGGAGATGCACAGTAAGATAAATATTCATTCTTTATTTAAAAAATCCAATTAGATGCAATTAAAAGGAACGTGTTCGGCTGAGCAGATGAATTTCTACTCCTGATGGGGGGGGGGGGGGGGGGGGAAGGCAGGCAGGATTTTTGAACAAAATGGCTCACGAATTGAAGCCGGCAGAGCCGAGCGCTTCGGGACGTGTCCGTGGGCGGGCAGGGCTGTCCCCCAGCCCCGCATTTCCCCACGCAGCCGGCCGTGCGCTCCCGGGGGATGCTCGGGCTCGCCTCTGCCCGTGCCATTCCTCGCTGTGGCAGCGCTGCCATCAATCACGGGCGCTGCCGGTTCCGGGGGAGGCGGAGCGGGGCCGGGGCCGGGGCCGGGGCCGGTGCCGGTGCGTGGGGCCGGGACGCTCCGCTCCGCTCCGGCCGCAGCTGCTCGGCGCTGGAGGGGCCTCCTTTTGTTCAGCAGCTGCGCCTGCCGGCCCCGCTTCCTCCGTGCCTGCCCTTCCCGGAGCCCTCCTCCTCCTCCTCCTCCTCCTTCTTCTTTCCTCCTCCTCCTCCTCCTCCTGCCGCTCCTCCCGCCGGGCTCCGCCGCCGGCAGCGGGGCCGGAGCGGGGCAGGGCTGGGGGCTCGGCCGGAGCCGGAGCCGCGGTGAGTTCCCCCCCGAGACCCCCGACCCCCAGGAGCCCCCCGAGACCTCCGAGTCCCCCCGAGTTCCCGGAGCCCCCCGATCCCCCCGAGTCCCCCAGGAGCCTCCCGTGTCCTCCGGAGCCCCCCGAGCCCGTGGATTTTTGCGACTTCGCCGCTTTACAACTTGTATTCCCACGAGGAGAATTAAGGCTGCTCTGCAAGTTGACTAATTGTTACCTGGCCAACGAGAACTGCCTGGATGGAGGAAAGGCTTGGCTTAATTCTCTTTTCCGCTTTGGGTTGCTCCAGATTTTTTGGGTTTTTTTGGTAATTTTTTTTTTTTTTTTCCCCCCCAGAAAAAGTTGGATCGACTTGGTAGGTGAGGCGTGGGTAGGTTTTTATTGGCCTGGGAAGTTCTGAACGCTCTAAAGGCTGCGGGGTTGTTCTTGGTTCTGTTTTGTTTCTGTTTGTTTGTTTTCTTTTTTTTTCCATAACAAATGCTTTACCTCCCTGTTCTAAATATAAACAGTTCGGGTAACCGGACTGCTGTGTTTAATTCTGTTTTTTAAAAGCAAATGAGATAAGGAGATAAGGATTGCATTTTCCTTATCCTGGAAGAAAGCACTTTTTCATTACGCTCGGTACAATGGAATGCCTTTGAAGCGCTAATTGGGACAGTGTGTGGTGTAACTTTTTTAACGATGTTTAATGGTGTTTTAGGATAATGACAGGAGACCTGCTCGGCCACTTTGTTTCCTGAGGAAGAAACCCGCTCTGCTTTGTTTTGCAATTGGTTTTAAGCTGGTCGGAGTCCATGTGGCTTTGCCCTGCATGGGGCATTGTGTGCCTGGATGGCTCCTTGCAGCCATATGGGGCTGCTTTAATTGTCGGGGAGTGGAAATGGCGCTTGACAAGGCCACTTAATTCCTTTCTTTGTTGTTTTAAACTTAACGTTAATGTTGGGCATGAAGTAGAAGCGAGTGGCGAATGGAAACCTAGTGAAGTGCAGTTAGAGATGCTCCACAGATATGTTTCTTCTGGGAAGGCAGTTTAAAGTCAGCTGGATTTCAGAGCCCACAGACACAACCATTGCCATGTAAAGCCGTTAATCTGCAGGCAATTAGTTCCAGACGTGCAACCCACTGCACATTTTTCTCGGTTTTTGTTCTTACAGGCAGTTTTTGGATCCTTGTGCCCAGTGACTATCACCAGACAGACGCTCGAGATGCCTGACAGCAAGCTGAGAATGCTGCAGGAGCAGCATTTATAAAAGCTTTTATTTGTTTTTCCAACCCTGTGATTTGGTAGTGTTGAAACTATTTTATAAAGATCTCTGGGACCAGTGAAAGGTGGTTTTAAGTCCCGAGCACTTGAGTGCTCATTGTGCTCTGGCAGGCTGGGTGCTTGGCAGGCACTTCTCGAAATGTTATTTGATCTGGCAGCACGATAGAATTCACTTGGATTACACAATCTTTTTTCACCCCCCGGTTGCTGTTTGAAAGTGATGCATCAGCGAGTGTTGTTCGAGAGCGTATTTTAAGACCTAAACTGCGTGTATTGGCTTTAAACAGGATTCCAGAGAGAGGCAGTTCAGAATTCGTCTTGTTTTGTGGTTAGGATTTATGAATTGAGGCGAGGGCTGACGTAATCTATCCGACCACTTCCTTTGTGTGTGTTTTAGAGTTGATAGTGCTTTGTTTTGCTTAAAATAGCCAGGACTCTTTCTTGAATACTTTTCTGTCTCCTTTCTGCTGTGGCCTTCAGTGTAAGCAGACAGCTTGTTCACTTGTGTGTGATTATGTCCCTTTGAGGAAATGGTTCCTTCCTTTTGTCACTAAGGTTCAGTGAATTGCTTGTATGCTAAGTAGATGAGACTTTAATTTTAATTAACATAATGATGTGTACAGCTGTTCTGTCAGAACGCATCGCCTGTCTTTGCAATTTTACTACAAGTTGTAGAGAATCCCTTGATGTGCCTCTCAAGCCCTCTTTGCTTACTTTTGTTTATGTATAAAGGTGGCAAAGATGGGGCTTTGTCTCCTGATGTGTGTTAACAGCTCACTGCCAGAGAACCTGGGTTTGATTTTAGTGTGTGGGGAAGGAAATAAGCTGTTTAGCACTGAACTAATCCTAAACCTCCCTGTCTTTTGGTTGGAGGGGGTTTATGCTACCCATTGTTCTGCTTCAGAGTAGTCAGGAGTAATGTCTACATTGCCTGGTATTTAATTCTTTAATTGTAGAGCCGGCTCTGAGGTTTGGGTCAGTGTGCACATGTTAATTGTTCCTTTTTTCTGGGACTTCTTCAGGAGATGTTGAGAGGTTCTGCTGATAGGGTGTGTGCTGGATTAGAAGGCACACACTGTTCAGTGTTACAACAGTGCAGAGCAGCTTTTCTGTAACTTGTTGATTTACGTGGCTGGTAAAAAGAATCAGCTGTGAAGGTGCAGAAATAGGTGCAGGTGTTGAGCTTGACACGTGCTGGGTGATTTTCACATGAAGGCTGAGCTTTAGGCTGGGCTCAGACACACCAGTGGGCCCCAAGGTCCTGGCTGGTGGCTGTGTCACCCTGGCTGTGTGGCTGTGTCACCCTGACTGTGTCACCCTGGCTGTGTGGCTGTGTCACCCTGACTGTGTCACCCTGGCTGTGTGGCTGTGTCACCCTGGCTGTGTCACCCTTGCTGTGTGGCTGTGTCACCCTTGCTGTGTGGCTGTGTCACCCTGGCTGTGTGGCTGTGTCACCCTGGCTGTGTGGCTGTGTCACCCTGGCTGGTGGTGTTGTCACCCTGGCTGGTGGTGTTGTCACCCTGGCTGGTGGTGTTGTCACCCTGGCTGGTGGCTGTGTCACCCTGGCTGGTGGTGTTGTCACCCTGGCTGTGTCACCCTGGCTGGTGGCTACCCCGGAGTGGAGCTGGCCTTTGGCTGCTGCTGGCCCCAGCCAGGCACGTCCGGTTCAACAAATCCCAGCTCTGAGCTGAGCTTAGAGCTGGCTCTCAGTGAGAGTGGCTGGGATTTGTCTCCAGAGCCGAGGGTCAGGGAATGGGGCAGGAGCAGCAGAAATTCAGTGTACTGTGCTGCTGGAGGCACAGCTCAGGTGCAGAGCAGCTCTCACTCCTTTCCTGGGCTGGCTCACACCTGGGACAGGTCAACGAGTCTTTCAGTTTTTGTGGGCTGGAATGTTTTGGCCAAGATACCTATCCCTGCTTTAAAGTAACTTTTATTTTCGCTTCAACCGTGTCTATTTGAAGTGCCAGACTCAGTAAATGACACATGAGAGCACTGAGTAGTTCTATTTTGCGTTTTAAATGTAAATAAAACGAGGAATGGTTTCCAAACCAGCGTGGTCCTGAGCAGCAGGCACCCTGATGCTCTGCTGGGACTGGATACAAACGCTGAGTGCAGTGGGGAGACTTTTTCCTGCAGTAATCAGCAGCTCCTAACAGGCAGATTAACGTGCAAATCTTTATTAATATGTATAAAACCATGTCAGAAGGGGCACTGGGGAAGGAGGGCTGTGTTAGGGGAGCTGGAATTGCAGCTGGCATAATTCAAACTCGTGTCAACTGGACCTTGCTTAGCCTTGCTCCTTGTTTGGCTCATTCTCCAGTATTTCAGAACACAGGACAAATTTCTCTATTACTAAAGACTGGAAAGGCCTTTAATGATGTAACACTCCCAGATAAATAAAGAGGTCCCATAAAATACTCGCTATCAGACAACTTCATGAAAAATAACGTCAGGCATCTTGAAATGAATCAGAAGGAAATCTGGTTTTTATACTTGAGCTTTCTTAGCAGAAGTGAAACTCTTTCCAGAAGAGTGGACAAAAATAGTATTTATTCCAGAGTTTGCCTGGGGTAGTGGTTTGAGTTCTGACCTTTGGATACGAAGTGAGAACAAATAGTGTTGAAAAATGTAAATGATTAAAACAAGCTGGCCTTCCCTGGGAAACATTTGTGTCAAGTTTATCCAAGAAAAGGGCTTGGTAATTGGATAAATGTTTTACCAGTGGAATAGATAGGATTTGATTGTGATGTGTAGATTTTCTCATCATGGTTTTTTTTTGTGTAATTGGTGTGTTTGGAATTCAGGCATTTTCTAATGTTAGCAGAAGTACAAAAGAAGTGGAGGCTGTAAATTCAGCAGTAACGATGTAGCTGTGCTCTTCTCTTGGGAAGGAATAGCAAATTTTGAAAGGAAACTTGGTTTAATTAGTCTTCTGTGAATGGATATCACTTTCATTTTCATAAGATGACAATGCAGTGTGAAATAACAAATCTGGAATGTGTTAGTATTGGGGCCTAAAAGTTTGATACTTGCAGGTTTTTCATTCCTTATTTTTCCCTTCTTTTAAATGAGCTGACTGGAAAAAGCTGTGATTAGGTAAACCTTTCACTGAAAGCAACCAATTTTGGTGTAGATAATTGCTGCTTCTGTAACACCAATTTTGTACATGAAATATATTTTATCTTAAGTGCTGATTTGAATTTTCTTGAGACTAGCAAGAAGAAATGCCTTGGTTTTGGCAACGTTTCCTTTGTGAATTTGCTAATTTGTAGAGATCAAAATGGCTTGGGTTTTTTTGAAATAAAACTGAAATTTTGCTAATAGGCTGTAAATGTTCCAGCAGCATCTGCAGTCCGAGGTGTTTTGTCCTCACTGTGGGGAGTTCAGTGCATTTCTGATCTTGCTCACAGCAGGTTTTTTTATTTTTTTTTTTTTTAACCCAGGCACAAACTGAAGCTGGGAGCTCAGCTGTGGTTTGTGCTGTTGAGAAGTTTCCTGGGTTTGCTCGGTGCCTGATGAGCACAAGCAGCCCCAGTGAGCAGGGAGATCACGAGTGTGGAAATGACTGAGCCATCATATGAGTCAATACAATTCAAGCACTTAAGGTTGGGGACTTTTTTTTCCTGAGTTTGACATAGTAACAGATCCCTACAGAATTTATTCTTCCAAGCAGTCAAAACACACTGTATTTGCTCCATTTCCTATTGAAATCTAACAAAGAAGCCAAAAATCAGATTTCCATTTCCTGGTAATAAAGCTATTCCTTCGAGATTAGAGCTGGGAATGGATTTTATATATATATATATGGCAGTTCCTGCTTAATAATTGAATGTTCTTTGGTGTCTTGTGTGCTGATGGGTGAGAGTATGTGAGACAGAACTCATTTTTTCTGTGTGTTCAGTATCAGACTGCTGTAACTGGCTTAAAATTGGAGCCCCAGCCCGGGCTTGTAGTTAAAAACTGGTATTTAAGAGTTCAGAGCAGCCCAGGGTTATCAGATTGTTGGGAAGGCAATTGCCCTTTGCCGGTGCAATAAAACAATT